GAGCCGAGCCGAGCCGAGCCCGGTGCCGGGGCGGTGCCGACCGGCGGCAGCAGCGGCAGGGCCGGGCGGGGCGGGGTGCGAGGGACCGAGGGGAAGAGGGACAGAGGTACAGAGGGATAGAGGGACAGAGGGACGGAGGGACAGAGGGACAGAAGGACAGAGGGACAGCGGCATCGCCGGCCGCCCGCGCTGCCGCCCCTCGCCGGGCCCGGGCCATCGGCAGCCGGTGCCCGCGGCGGTGCCGGCTCCCAGAGGCGGAGGCGATGGCAAAGCGATGGCAAAGAGATGGCAAATAAACAGCCTCGCCGAGAGAGCCGGCAGCCGGGACACGGCAAACATCTCCCTGCTCGAAAACAAATTCCCGGACAGTCTTAAACAGGCAAATAAACTTGCCGGCTCTGTTTTTCAATCAAGCCTTTTAAGTACTAGACTGAGGCAAATTACAGGCGCAGGAAAACCTGCTGAAACTTAGGAAAGTGCTATTTTACTATCTCAGATGGTTAGAGGGATCTGGATCTACCTTGACTGCACTAAATTGCCTGTAAAAAAGTGGCGATAAAGTGTAAAAGTAACAAGTGCCTCCTTATTCACGTGTGTTCCCCTAATCTGATCACCTTCTGTCTCTTTATGAGGCTACTGGGTGGCTGGGGCTACCCCGGGCCGGCTGCAGGGCTGCGGCGGCCCGTGCTGGGGCTGGGGTTATTCGGGGATACGCTTTCTTCGGGCGGGCACAAACCCACCCGAGTGGAAAAGCAGCTGCCCCGGGGCCCGGGGCCTGTCCCGGGAGCGGGGATGCCCTCGCAGGTGCAGCGGCCCCGCATCCCGCACGGCTCCCCGCAGCCCGCTCCTCAGCGCCTGCTTCCCGAGAGCGTGGGGCCAGAGCGACTTCAGCGTGTGTTTTACCTTATTTTTACAGCTGGGCATTTAAAAAATTCACTGGCTATTCCCCGCGTGGCTCTTTTTGTTTCTTCCAAATTATTTTTCTTTTCTTTTCTTTTTTTTTTTTAGGTTGGGGGCAAAGCCTCAAAATTATTTTTTAGCAGTTTTACACTGAGGTCAAGAAAATACCCTTCAGGTACTCTCCCTTAATTAAGAGGGAAAAAGTTCCCTGTGTATTGGCGACCGTCACGCAATCGGGGCGATTTTTGTTTCATGCATAAATCAGTAAAAGTGAAATGATACAAGAAATGCGCTTTATCCCGATCTGTGTCTTTTTCCATGTAAAAGGGTAAAGGCTGCAAAATATTTTCTTATTCCTAACCCAGACAGAAAGAACTGAAAAGCTAAAACCTTCTTCTCTCGAACGACTAAATTAAAGGGGTCGTCTCCAACCCTCCTTCCACTTGCCATGAAACTGAGACGCTCTTCGGGGGGGAAAGAAGCAGCTTTTCGGAACACAAAAAAGAAATAAATCCCGGCTTTCTAAATATGATTTCCTTTATGAGTCGATTGTAACCGAAGGATTATTTAATGCAACACATCTGTCTAGGAGGGGAAAGTGCTGCTGCTGCTGCTGCTGCTGCTGCAAGACGCGCAAAGTTTGCCGTGGATCGGATCTCGCCCGCGGAGCTGGAGCCGGAGCAGGAGCAGCAGCGGGAGCCCTGAATCGCTGCTCAGCGAGCAAAGGAGGGGAAAGGCGAGGAAACCTGACGGATTTTGTCGGGGGTGGGAGATGATTTTTCCCAGTAATTAGCTCCAAAGCAGGGGTAGAAACCTTGAGATTTAAAAATATATTTGTTTTCAAATTGAGGGCGCTGGATGATCCACTTTAAGATCACCTAATCAAACGCAGGTTGCTGCTGTTGTTCAGGTTCACAGAAAAGCTGATGATGATCCAGAGACATCTTTCACTTCCCCTTTTCCACGCTTCTCTATTTTTCGCCCCTTCACAAATAAAGAGTAAATAAGCATCTGCTTTTTACGTCACGCAACTTATGCAACATTTCATCTGACTTTTTTTTCTCCTGCCCATTTTCTTTTTCACTCGGGAACGTGACTTGCCATCGCCATGGATATCAAATGAAACTTGCCCAGATGTGTCAGAGAAAATAAAGACATCAGTTGCTTTGAAAATAGGACGAGAAAACTGGCGAAGTTTTGTTGTTGAATCCCTCATTTAAAAAAAATAAATAATAAAAAAAAATATATAAAGGAGCCCCAACACTGCAGCAGTTAAAAGCAGAGATCCCTATCATAAAGGAGAAACAGATGGGGTGAGCGTAAGACAAATAATTAAGTCGGGCTTTGCGTGTGGACGGCCGAGCCCTCGCCTCGCGGAACACAGACCTTCGGGCGGCCAAACTGTGTAAAAAAACTGCTGGAAAAGCGCCTGAAATTACAACATTTACATCAGCTTTTCGGGGGTGACTCCAGCGGGCTGGGAAGCGCTCGGTGCTGCCCGGCGGCCCCGCCGTCCCCCGCCGGACCGCGCGGGGCATCCCGGCCCCGCGGAGCTGCTCCGTGCCCGCCCCGCACATCCCGCACATCCCGCACATCCCGCACATCCTGCACATCCTGCACATCCTGCACATCCTGCACATTCCGCATATCCCGCATATCCCGCATATCCCGCACACCCCTCACATCCCGCACAGCCCGCACAGCCCGCACAGCCCGCACAGCCCGCACACCGCGCTCCGCTCCGCTGCGGGAGGAGCCGCTCTTGGGCTCCAGCCCGCGGGCACGGCCCGGGGGTGCCCGGTAGCTCCGCTCCGGCTACCTGAGCCCGGGGCTCGCCGCCTCCCCCGCGGAGCCGCTGCTGCCCCTCCGCTCCTGCCCCCCCCCCCCCCCCCCCGCCCGCGGCCCCCGGCCCTGCGACAGCCCACAGCGCCCACTATAGGGCCCGGAGCCTCTCGCACCCCCCCTTCCCCGACCCCCCCCACACTCCAGCCCCCGGCGGCAGCAGCAACTTCCAGCGCTCGCCACTGAACTTTTCCTCAACTCCTTCCCCACCTCCCGCCGGCCGCCCGCAGCCCCCGGCCCGGCTCCGGCCGCCTCAGCCCCCGGCCCGGTCCCCGCCGCCGCCCGCCGAGCCGGACCGAGCCGAGCCGGGCCGGGAGGCTGCGAGGGGATGCTGCAGGTTGCCTGCGAGCTCCGCGCCGCACCAGACATGTCTATGCAACATGGCAGAGAGGGAGGGTGAAAAGCCAAGAGAAAGGGGTATTGCACCTACTTGCGGCCAGCTTCCTCGCCCTGCCCTTGGATCGCATGCTGCCAGTCCCGCGGCCGATGCTGGCGTGGGCTTGGGGTGGGGGGGGCTTTTTATTTTTTTTCCTCCCGGAGCTTTTCCTCCTTTTTCGCTCCCCCTCTCCCTCTTTCCTCTCCCTCTCCCGCACACACACTCTCCCTTTCTCTCAATCCCGGCTCGCTATCTCTCCAGCATTGTCAGTTTGGACACCTTCGCACATGCGCACGGGCGGCTCCCCCCCGCTCTTCAACATTTCAGCGCCGCCAAAAAAAAGTTTGCAGCGATCCATCACCGCCGGTGGGGACCCTGACAGCCGGCACCGGGGCCGGGACGGGCCGGGACGAGGCGCGCAGCCTCCTCCGGACTACGGCACCGCGGCCGCGGGGCAGCCGCTCCGCCGCCTGCGCACCCGGGAGGGGTCACAGCGGGGGAGAGCCGCGTTCCCGCGGGGCACGGGCTGGGGGGAGAAGTGACACCTCTTTTTTATGCCTTTTTTTTTTTTTTTTTTAATGGGATATCAATAGTGTTCTGGAATTTTTGCAACGTTTAAATAGTTTATTCTCACCCGGTAGCAATTACCGTAGATCTTTCCGCATATATAGGCAGAGAGATATAATTTGATTACATGTTTTATTATGTATGCGTACCATGAAATCGTACACTTTCCCGGCGCGCACACTTTTTCGCCACCTTGAACTCTGCTCAGCCACCACCGGTTGGGCAGAAAAAAAGCGTTTTAAAAACAGTAACATGGACCGCTCTAATCTGTTTTAATTACAGGGTTTGCCAATCAAAGAGGGAGCACGCAGAAATTGGGAACTCCTTTAGGGGATGGCTGTGTCCGAGATATGAATCAATCCAAACTACGTATAGATCTTCCCCTGGTACAACCTCCTTGCATTAAACAGTTTTGTTCAATACCTTCAATGCGCTATTTATGTTCCCATTAATATCTGTTGCAAATCCTGCCAGACATCATAAAAGAAAATTACAATCTTTCAGACTCGGGGCTGCGCCAGTACATACACGCTGCTCAACTTTTTGTTTTAATAAAATCCTCAGCATCGCCCCTTCCCCCTTCAATCCCACCTCCCACCCCCCTGCTGCCGGTGCTGCGGATCGGGGCCGCCCGTGGAGCGCCTCCCGCCCGGCCCGGCCCCCCCGGACCCCACCGGTGACAACCCCGCGGGTGGGGCGGGGGCACCGCGGATCCCCCGCTGCTGCCCCAAACGCCCGGCACACAGGCGCAAACACTTGAACCCGCACTGCGGAGCCGTCCTTGATGCCAGTCGTTCTTTGTCGTTTATAACTTGGATTTTTCTTTATTTTTTTTTTTTTTAAGGACGCGCAGCTCCTCTCTGCCCACTCCACACCCCCCCGCAGCCGGGCAGGGGCGCACCTAACGCCCCCGGAGCAGGAAGGGCAGGAGGGCAGGGGCCTCTCCCAACCCCCTGCACCCATCGGGGTGCCCTGTCCGGGCTGTCCCGGGAGCAGCTGGGCCACTCTGCCCCGGCGGAGGCAGGGTCGGGACAGCCGGGGAGCGGCCAGGGGCTGCGCGGGGGATGCGCGGGAGATGCGCGGGGGATGCGCGGGGCCGGGCCGGCAGCCGGGGCTGCTCTCGGGGTCCTGGCACTGCCCGACCCCCGACCTCGCTCGCAAACAGAGCCTTTCCTTGCGGGGCCGCACCGAGCTGTCCCCAGATCACCCCACGCACACACCCCGACCTGCGATGCCGGGTCACTTGGGAAAAATGAAAACGCCCGTGAACTTTGCAAAACTCCCCCCGCCTGCCGCGGCCCCGGTTTAACCGGCAAAGCCTCCGCCCGGCCAGAGATGCGCGTCCTTCCCCCGTGCCCGGGGAGCCGCTGGCACCCGAGCCCCGTGCGGGGCCGGGGACACAGATGCGGCTTTCCCGGACGGGCAGCCCTGACCCCGGGCCGTGCCCGCCTGTCACCGCCACCTGCCCGCGGTCCCAGCGGCCCCGGGAGCCCGGCAGGTGCCGCGCCGCCCGCCCGGGGCTCCGGCCGCCGCCCCCCGCTGCCCGCCCGGCGGCCCCGGCATCGCCCGCTCGGCCCCGTCGCCTTCGCCCCCTTCCCCGAAAAGTCCCGGGCAGCCCCCCGGGAATTCCGTTTCGTTCGTGCGGGGAAGCTCCCCAGAGCCTCCGCTCCCTCCCGGGTGGGAAGCGACTGGCGGCGGGGATGCGGGGTCGCTTTCAGCAGATCCACGGGCAGAAACAGAGATTAAAATTCGGGGATATATTTTTCCGGATGGAGGGGCGGAATTAAATCTATTTCTAATACAGGCTGGGAGACTAAAGGCACCCCCTCATACGCGGGTTTCAGTGATTTCCCCGTAACAGGAAATTTTCTCTTCCTTACATTATAATTGAACAAGCCCCGCAGTCTTCTTGGAGAAAAGTTGGAATTCTTTATCGAGGTATTTGTTGTGCTATTGTCTTTGTGCAGTGAACTTTACATCGTGTTATTCAATCTCAATCTATATTCTCCTAGCTACCAGTAAGATTAATTTAATCATTGTAATGCAATTATTAATACTGTTTACCCAACGCTTGATTTCAGGTTTGCTGTTAAGAAATTAAGCTTCTTGCTGGGTGACCGAAAAGCTATGCAGGGATTTCCAGCCCACGTCGAAATAAAACAGTCCTCTTTATTTAGTCTCAGAACTCCAGCTTTCAGCCACGGGCTCAATTAGCCAAAATGGAAACAATTTTCATTCATTGCAATAACTCACTGTTCTGCTGATCACTTTCAAAATATACACTTTATTATTATATGCTGACCTCGGTGCCGCGAAGTGGCAAGGCTAGAAAGAGGCAGAGGGATCTCTCCAGCCCCCTTGGGCTGTAATTATTAGAAATTAATTGGGTTCAGGACCCTGGGTAGCATGGGTAAATTAATAGCTTGTCTGGTTGTTTAAATCCGAATTCTCAGTCCACAGGAGAGCAGGGGAGGGAGGCTCTCCCTCCCCAAACCCGCCCCGGGAGAGCGCGGCAGGGCTGGGGCAGCGCGGAGCCGCCGGCTGATTTCCCTCCTTCTTTTCACCAACGCATTGTTTTTCGGGGAGCTATTTAGGGGTTAAAAATCAAAAATAAAGATCCTGTATACTTGGAGCTGTCGTGCGGGAGTAAAAGTGAAAAGGGAGCCTTAGGCAAAAGGAAATTACTGCAAGCCCGCGTGACCTTTCCGAGAGGTAATCAATCAAGTGATCAACAGGGATATTTATCATTGCTAGATGGGGCTACTTTACAAATGCACAGGAGGGGGGGCGGGGGGATACACACACACACACAAAAGTTTGGATAAACCCGATAAGTCTGAAGACAAATACGGAGACTTTAATCACTGGGAAGATTGTACATTTTCTTTTCTGAGCTCTCAGAAGGAAAGGAAAGGAGAAAAACACTGCAAAGTTTCCCAGCAGAAAATGCCTCCTGTACTAGGTGGTCACATGGAAGCTGTCCACTTTGCTTTGCAGTCCTGGGAAAGGCTGGGAACGACAGATGTGATTTAAAAAAAAAAAAAAAAAGGCACCGAATACAAGGGAAAATAATAGCTAGAGATTGAGGCTTTGATAACTGGGCTCGGTGTTTGTTTTTATGTAATGTGTTTTTATTTGCTGGCTTGAAACTCGGGAGATGTGGAGTTCAGCCCTGCCTGCCTCTAGTCCCCGAAACGGTTAACTCCGAAAACAAAACAAAAAAAAACCAAACCACCCCATGCCCCCTACTATATGAAATCAGCGATCTGGTTCAATTAAACTTGCTCTCCGTAGCATAAAGCATCCACCACAATACAGGCAATGAAATCCAACAATAAAAGCCCATGCATTTTCTGCACAGTTTCCTTCTCCCTTGTAAAACATGCCGTCGTGTAAGCACCAGACATTTAATTTTGCTTCCTATAACTTACCGGATTCCTTAACAAACCTACTCTGACCGCTCTTTTTTTTTTTCTTTTCCTTTCTTTCTGTTCTCTCCCCCTTTTCTCTTTTTATTCCTGCTTTGCGCTCTGCTCCACGCACACTCCTGCACAAAGCCTCGCTGTCTGCGCCCTGCGCCGCTGCCTCTAAACGACTTTAGGGGTGCGGGAGCCCCCCGGGAGCGCTGCCCGAGCCGCGCTTGCGGAGAGATCCGCGGGGCCGGCGGCAGAGTGCGGAGCAGCGGCTCGGAGCCTCGCCAGCCTCGGGGGCTCTCCCGGCCCTTGCGCTGCCCTGCGCTGCCCTGCGCGCTCCCGCAGCGCCCTGCGCGTTCCCGCGCGGGCTCTCCCGGCCCTTGCGCGCTCCTGCGCGGGTTCTCCCGGCCCTTGCGCGTTCCCGCGCGGGTTCTCCCGTCCTTTGCGCGTTCCCGCGCGGGCTGTCCCGTCCCTTGCGCGCTCCCGCGCTGCCCTGCGCGGTCTGCGGCGCCCCCTGGCGGCCGCGGCTCCGCACTGCGGGTGCGCACCCGCGCGGGAGTGAGCGCAGAAAACTCTCCCAAAAAACGCGTTTGGAGGGGACGCGGCTTCAGGGTCCGGTACCGGCGGCTGCCGGGAAGCCGAGCCGGCCCGGGGGTGCAGCAGGCCCGGTTCGAGGCTGTCCCCGGTGGAAGCGCCGCTGAAAACACGAGATTTAAATGAATTCATTGGAGGGGAGGCGCTCAGAGAGCAGCAGCGAGCCCTGCACGGCGCTTCCCGAGAAGTGCTTCCCTGTGAAAATGCTGCACGGTGCCAGCTGTAAGTAAATCTTGTTTCTGCCTGTAGGAAGGACCTGGATTTCCACAACGTTGGGACTGAAAGGAGAGCAGAGGAGAGTGAACAGGCCAGAGGCAAGATTGAAAGAGAGGCGTGGAGGCCACTGTGGTAAATGGGGACACTGGAGAAACGAACCTGATTTTCTGCTTCCTGGCAGATTTCCTGTGTTACTTTGGTATTTGGGGTTTTTTGGGTATTGCATTCCCCCACCCCTCACCTGAAATGCACAGAGGCTTCCCCAAAGCCAAAAGCTGGAGGTTTCTGTTTTAAGGTGCACAGCAGGGCCGCTTGTCTCTGTCCTCAGTCCCACTAGAAGATGACGATGCAGGACTATCCCTGAACATGAAGCAGGACTCACATATTATCTAACTGCAACCAAAAAAAGTCATTTACCCCTATACCAC